GGCCCCTGACCCAACCTGGCCAACAGTGTATTCCATACCATGGGACGTCCCATCTAGTTTAGGAACTGGGAAGTGGGGGGGGGCAGGGATTTGCCGCTCGGGGACTGGCTGGGTGTCGGTCGGCGGGTGGTGAGCAATTGCCCTGCGCATCATGAGCAATTGCCCTGCGCATCATTTGTACATTTCAATCCTTTTATTACTACTGTTGTCATTTTATTAGTGTTATCATTATCATTATTAGTCTCTTCTGTTCTATTAAATCGTTCTTATCTCAACCCAGGAGTTTTACTTCTTTTCCTGATTTTCTCCCCCATCCCACTGGATGGGGGGGGAGTGAGTGAGCGGCTGCGTGGTGCTTAGTTGCTGGCTGGGGTTAAACCACGACATGGGGACAGACCCCACCCATTCTGTATTTGTGCCAACCAAAACAAAATTGATTTTACAAATTCAGAGGTGTATCTCAGTTTGTCACATCAAGCAAGAGAGTTATTCAGTCCTTCCTAGCAACACTGTTGATACACATTTTTCTAAAGTTTATATTCTATGTCTTAACAAATAGTGCAATTCAAACGTGTTACAGTGTGGTCTAGATGTGTTGGTGAAGGAGAACTTGACATGTCCTTTCACTGTCTGTAAAGGACAGGGTATGGATGAGCAGAAAACCTGGGTTCTGCCTGCAAGTCTGGAGAAAGAGTAAAGGAGATTTAATCATTCTCAAAGGTATCTCAGTGTAACAGATAAAATTCATCTTTTTGTCTACCTCCAGCAGTGGGAGCACTAGAAACCTGAAACCACATAAGGTAGAGGGACTCAGAATCAGAATCTTTTTGTACTTTTTCCTTGTACATTTTGATACTAATAGCCTCTAACAGTCAAAAGGAGCACTTGCTGAAGTATGCACAGTGCAGGTGGAATTGCTGATTGACTGCCCAGTTCAAGTATCTACTCACCATGTGCAAAACACACTTTTTTTTTTTTTTTAAAGCCTTAACCTTGGACAAGTATAGGTGCATTGGTCTCTTCTGTCAGGTGGATGGAGATAGGACGAGAGGAAATGGCCTCAAGTTGAGGCAAGGGAGATTTAGGTTAGATATTAGGAAAAATTTTTTTACTGAGAGGGTTGTCAAACATTGGAATAGGCTGCCCAGGGAAGTGGTTGGGTCACCATCCCTGGAGTTATTAAAAAAGCGAGTGGACAGGGTACTTCAGGACCTGGTTTAGTGGGCATGGTTAATGGTTGGACTTGATGATCTTGAAGGTCTTTTCCAACCTAAATGATTCTATGATCCCTGATGTAAAGATAGCTGCCTTCTCATGGTATACTTCAAGATCTTGATTCAAAATGTAGGTGCTCTGGAAGTTCTCAAAGCTGTGGCTGCAGGAACTATTTTCATGTGGATTACAGAATTGCATTTTGCCTACCTTCTTGCTCTGACAGACAGGCATCCAGCTGGCAAAATGCCAGTCTTTAACCTTGAAGTCTACAGACTTAGTGTCCTAGTACTGTCTGTAACTATCTGCTCTGAACAAAGACAAAGACCTGGTCCTGAAACTTACACTTACAAAAGCTCAGTGGACTCCAGAACAATTCAATTTAACAAGGACTAGAAAAAAAAGAAAAATAAAGAAAAGCATCAATTTGAAAAAATTTTACTTCTCTTTGAAAGTTTTCTATCCTCTGCAGTTACTCTTAAAAACTGTATCATCTGTATCTGAGTTAAATTGAAAGGTTTGTCCCCTCAACACCCCCTTCAATTTTCAGGTGATTTCTTCGCATTTGACAGCACTTTTTCATGTTCAATTTAAATCTCTTGCCCTTTATGATCAGCAAATTGGATTTTTTTTTTTACAGTCACACCACCACAGAAAAGAAAACCCTTTAAATATGTTAAATTTTCTTTTCAAATAGGATTTGCAGAAATGCTGAAATTACTTCAGCTCAAAAATTATTTTGATTGTAATGGCAGGTTGATAACTCTAAATACTATATAAATAAGAACATGTATCATATAGAAAAATAAACATATACAATAATATATGTATATTTATATATATTAAATATGTAAAATAAATATATAAAATACTATATAACTGCCAAATGCTACAAATGTTAGGACAGGTCTGTAAAGTACAGAGAAGCATAACTGCATACTGTCAGAGCTGGACCACTTTTATGTTACTGAAAAATACTGAAACATGGTACTGTGACCTAACAAGCCATACTCTTAGTACTCAAGACCAGTTGAATGTAGAACAGAAGAGACATCGTCATCCAGTGACTCAGGAACTGGATGAAGGCCCTTATTTAAAATTATTGGGTACGGTTTCGATATTGTGATGGAGACATCTTAATGAAGAAAATTGAACCAGTCACTGGTAGGAATATGTGAAGAACTGACTTTTTGGTTTAGTTCTATAAGTTTAAAAAAAAAAAAAAGGCATCTCAAAACAAATTGAAAATGTGTATCTTTTACCCTGAAAACAAACAAGTTATTTTCACTCTGTGTAATTTGAACAACAACAAACAGATGAGATGAAGAGTTGAATTTTACCCAAAATTAACAGATGTTGTAGTAAGGCAGAGGTGGTACAGTTTGTCTGGCTTACTGTCATAGTGTAATGGTAAAGATATTCCTGCTGGATGCAAAAGATTGTTGGTTTGTTTTTTCTGTCTCTGTCTTTCCTCTTACCATGGTTACATTGGTAATTTATGCAAACAGCACAGCTCCAACAGAGAGAAATCTGCCTCTGACTGCCTTTTAGTCAAGTGATTCAGGCACTCTCCAAGGAAAAGCAAGAATCAAACTCGGGCACTGTGCCTGGGTTTGACTCATCACCAGGTTTAGGCAGACAGTTAAAGATTCCTGCATTCAGCAATTTGCCTTAACCACACTAC